GGCCGTCTCCCCTTGCTCTCTACTGGTCTTCTCCTCTTGCTCTCCTGGCCGTCTCCCCTTGCTCTCTCTCCTGGCCGTCTCCCCTTGCTCTCTCTCCTGGCCGTCTCCCCTAGCTCTTTCTCCTGACCGTCTCCCCTTGCTCTCTCTCCTGGCTGCCTCTCCTCACTTTCTCTCCTGGCTGCCTCTCCTCACTCTCTCTCCTGGCTTGCTCTCCTCAAGCTGTGTCTCCTTGCTCATCCTCCTGGCTGTCTCTCCTCGCTCTCTCCCCTGGCTGTCTCTCCTCATGCGGCCCCCATGGAAGACGAAAACATGCCCAGTAGCCCCTAGTTCATTTGTGTTTGAGACCCCTGCAATAGTCCTCCCATACTCTGTCCAAAATGCAAAACAAACTTTTTACTGTAGATAAATTTAACCTTGCCACAATCGCCTACATCATAGAATTGATCTGAGAGTGCCAGCCAAGTGGGACAATCGGACTATGCGTCATACACAGCAGTATCATTTTACTATATTTCAGCTGCTGTAGGCTGACTTGTTAATGTGACTTGTTAATGTGTTAATGTGAAGGACAGGTGCTGCGTGTGATTAGTACGCAGCCCCTGTCCTCTATGGAACTACGCGGCTGTACGTCGCCCTACGCTCACCTCAAGTGTAGGTCCGTACGGGTGCAGGTGTCACGGCTCGGACACAGACAGGATCCATCCTGTCAGGGTACGAGTACGCTCACCCCCACCCACAAGGACATGCAGGGCGGGTGAGCGTAGGGCGACGTACGGCAGCGTAGTCCCATAGAGAAGGACAGGGGCTCCTGCTGACCTCAGTAAAAGGAACAAGTAAAAGCTGCAGGAGACCTGTTTTCCAGTAGGGAAAGGGGGGGAAGGCAGTTTTTCATCTACTTTGGGGGACTTTTTCACAGCATAAAAACGGTGTTAAGCAGTGTGCATACGTGAATGGTATTTACCACCTTACAGGTATATATCTTTGCTGGACTTACAGGTGTGGGGAGAACACAAGGAAGACCACACATGTAAGCTTATGCACTATTATAGTCCAGTGATCATACTGCAGACAGGGAGGTGACACAGGAAGCTGCAGGCACTGAAGAGTGGAGTTGGCTTATGACTATAGCATGTGGCAGGGCTACTTGATTCGTAATACTTACTGAAGAGGATTATAGATATTTTGGCATGAAAACCAATTTGCATACATGTATTTGCGTATTTAGCAGTTTTGTTAGGGGTCTTTTTAAAGCTAGCAAATGCGAGGGAGCGATTTATATTCATCTTTAAGTACTTGATCCTCTGTATGAAGGCTGCAGAAAAAGCCCATTCATCAATTTGCAGGCCAGTATGGAACTCAGACACAGTGCACCTTGTGGAGGTTTCAGGTTCTACAGCCAATTTTAAAGTTTATCTAAACCCAAATCACTACAATTTCACAAAAGATTTGAATCTGTGTACAAACATTTAAATGGACTTTTGAGGTACCTTGAAATTTAAGCTTGTACAACTTATTAATGAAAAAAATAATACACTTTATTTACATATAAAATGAGAAGACTTCACATATAGTTGCTTATTGTACAAAAGTTACAAATACACAAACATACAATATGTAGCCCACACTTCTTATAAACCCTCTCTTATTTTGTCAATATATCATTACTAACAGTCCATATAGGTTTGCTCCAAGTATATGGTTTTAATTCTTAATTTCATATTTGGCACAAGTTTAAATGAGAAGATAATTCTTGCTTTGTTCTACGTGTTTCACAGTGCCCGCTTCGCCAGGAGAAACCTACAGTATTCTAAAATGACTGGTATATTATTAGTTGCATATTCCAAACTTTTACATCAATCCAATCAACAATCTCTTTTACAAAACATTTCTCACATATGTGACTGTCCATTGTACCCGCATCAAAATATGAATTCCACAAATCTCCACAGGTCTAGGGCTCAGATGAAGAGGAGCAACAGAGAACCACTTACATAAACAATTCTAGCAATGCATATTTCTATTCTATAAACCTCAATTTTACATTGAGGAACATTATTCAGAAATTATTCGACAATTGTAGACGCAGCTTTTCATAGATTGGTGAACCTCTGCCCATCTTCACTTCCTGGACACTCTGACTCTTTAAGATGCTCTTTTTATACCCAATCATGTTACTGACCTGTTGCCAATTAACCTAATTAGTTGCAAAATGTTCTCCCAGCTCTTCCTTGTTAGTACCACTTAAGGTGGCCATACACTCTACAACCATCGCAAGACCTTAGTCTTGCGATGGTTGTACAGGGATTAAAAAAACGTACGATCTGCCTATCTTGGACAGGCAGATCGCACTCTCGATCATCGCAAGCCCGCCCCCCTGATGCTGAACGGGCAGTGTGCGCGTGCGCACACCGGCCCGTTCGGCATTTGTCTTCCGAGCACCGTTCTAACCAGCCGAGAATCGTACGATTCTCGGCTGGTTTTCTAGCATGCTGGTTCGACGGAAGACGTGCGACCGTACAATAGAAACGGTCGCACGTCTCCGTTCACACTGCTCGATTCTAGTACGATCGTGGGATTTCCCGCGATTCTCGTACGAGAATCGAGCAGTGTATGGGCACCTTTACTTTGTCAGTTTTTTGTTGCCCTGTCCCAACTTGTTTTTAGACGTGTTGCTGCCATCAATTTCAAAATTACCTTATTTGTTTCTTGTAAATATATAATGGTAAATTTTCTCAGTTTAAACATTGGATATGTTTTCTATTTTCTATTGTGAATAAAATATGGCTTTAGGAGATTGGCAAATCATTGCATTCTGTTTACACAGCGCCCCAACTTTTTTGGAATTGGGGTTGTATAAACTGCTATCTAACCTTCATATATGGGATGGCGTAACAGTGTAAACGTCCCGCTATCGCTGCTGCCCTTCGCGTATTGAAAAAATAAATACATTTAAAAGACATAATTGTCCACTTAATAACTCACATGGTACCCCAAAGCCATCCTGCTCAAACAACAAACAACAATCCTCCTTTGTGTCCAATCCCTGTGATGTCACATCCGGTGCAGGCACCCACCGAGCATGTGCCGCCAGACCCAAAACAAGGCCTGCAGCTAAACCGGTCCCTGCAGCCTGTCTCTGCTGAGATGATGGAATGTCCCTCAGCCTCCTAAAATACTATACACTGTATAGGAGCGGAGGGGGAGAGAGGCTGCTGGGACCAGTCTAGCAGCAAGCCGGCTCTGAGATTCAGGTGAGTATAACTTTTTATTTTTGTTAGTGATATGCAATGACTAAACTTAACTCACCCATTAACCTCCAAGTCCTATTTGCTTGTACTTGCAATTTAAAGTGTATGCCCTGCCAAAACCTTTTTTTCTTAGATTTGAATAGAATGTGGAAGGGTTAAATCCCCTCACAATTTGATACTGCTATCTGGGGCTCTATTGGAAACCTTTACCCTAATTTCCTGTCCTGCTGACAACGTTTTACCAGACAGGAAGTGGGTAAAACTCTCCAACAGAAACACAATACAAATAAAAATGCTATACTCTCATAGAGTAGGGGAAGGCTAAAACCCCTATGAGATTTTTGTTTCTCTTTGTCTCCCTGTTGAAGATTTTCCCTTACTTTATGTCTGTCCTCTCCAATGTTAGCACAACAGCAACAGAGGGAAAGTCTCTGTAATGGTGCCCTAAGTGGCAGCAAAACCTGACAGGAGTTCTAATCCTTCCCTACTCTATCCAAAGCTAGTGAAAAAGATTTTGGCTTGATATACACTAAAAAAACATTAAACCCTGACTAGATGATATTTAGTTTGCTGAAGCACTGTGTAATAAATGTTTCCTTATTTTGTTGCTCCCATAGAAGGTTTTGGCTTGAGATACATCAAATTATGATTGAAACTTCAGGTACTGGCAGTTTTTAAAAATAATGAATAATTTTGAATAAATCTACAATTAGATAAAAATGAGTTTATTTGTCTGTATTATATTTTACAAGAGTCAGGAAATGTAGCCCAGTGACAGCTTGAGTGCTGAATGTTTACAATAGTTAATTTTTTTTCTTCAACCTTCTTTCAGTAATTAATGAAAACCAGCGACAGAAACTGGAAACTGTGAGCTACTCCTCCCGTTATGCCCTGGGACTCTTTTATGAAGCTGGCACACAGATTGACGTCCCCTGGGCAGCCAAGTACATCACCGATAATCCCTGCATACGCTTCATCTCCATTGATAATAAGAAACGCAATCTAGGTCAGTGCTTCCATTATTCCTCTTAAATACCGGGACAATGGAGGGTGTGGATCATGAGATATGCTGTGTAATTGAGGGCTGCAGCTCTGAAGAGAATATGTATTTAGTTACAGGCCTCTGGGAATGAATACAATGTCACACCAGGCTAGTAACAATAAGGAATCCATAATACTGCCTGATAATATTCCTTAACAGCTTCCTGGCCAGGGTATGCTGGATATTTGTTTATGGAGCCTAAGGTGTGCTGTCCCCTGTAATGACGTCTGAGCTAAGACAGAATGTCATGGTTATTTCAACAGCTGATTTATAAATACTGTAAACATGGACAATTTATGGACAGTTTATGTGGTTACTGTAATCAATCAAATGTTAGGTTTACGTTCCTTTTTATTTGCATCCAAAATGACAGCTGCAATCTAACTAGTATTATGTTTAATTTGCTTGGGGTTCATAGTATGCAGACAAATTAAAGTGTATGTCTGGGCAAAAAAATAAATCGAAAAACCAAAACACATGTAGTACCATCTTTATAATACATGCCCATTTTCCCATGCTTTGTTTCTTTATAAACACCACAAGCACAGAAGAACACCTGTTGATCTGCCAGAAATCCAGTGTGCTCCTAACTAGTGATGAGTGGATCTGCCCAGGTGCGATTCTCATGGAGTTCAGTGAATCCTATTAGAAGTTCAGACCCAAACTTTGCAAAATGTCTTTCGGGTAATGGGTGCACAAATCTTGTTAGTCAATTCTGGCCATATTTAGGGCTAATAGCCAAGCTATAAAAGGCATGGCATGTGAAGTTGGACACTGCCAAAGGGAACATTATACATATACCATTGGCAAATGAAAAAACGATTGGGGGATGCCTGTAAGTGGTGTTACAGAACAGTTTGATTTCATGGACAGCCTCATGCTCCAACTGCACAAAATGGGCAGTGGAATCAATTTTTTTATTTTACACTTATTTTGGCTCACAAATTCAAATAACTTCTGTACCTTGTGTCTCCACATTTCGGCCTATTCTTATCTATTAAAACTGTCCTGCCATTAGCCAGGTTTTTTTCCAGAATTTATCTCACTTTATAAATTACGGACTTTTAAGGTACCACAGAATACAAAAACTTAAGATAACAACAATCGTTTATTTCAAAACATTAAAATCCTCCCCATCTGGGACATTTATTAGCATTGTACATATATACAGAAAAAAGTTGATAAAAGTAGCCCCCACTTTCTTATTTCGTACTTTTCAATGTGTATAGGGCACATCAATACCAAACTAGCAGAAGAGCGCCATATATTTTTAGCATGCTATGATAGTGTTATCCAGAGTGTGCTTGACAAAGTATGTTGATAGAGAAGGTACTTTCAACGCGTTTCATGGTGTATTACGCGTTAATACACCTTAGCACAGTATATTACGGTATACACATTAAAAGTACATTCTCTACCAACAGACTTTGTCAAGCACACCCTGGATAACACTATCATAGCAAGAATATATTGCGCCCTTCTGCAAGTTTGGTATTGATGTGTGCTATATACATGTGACAAGTATGAAATGAGAAAGTGGGGGGGCTACTTTTAACAA